AGGCCGCGCCCGCCGCGGAGGAGCCGGCGCCGGACGGCGGGGGCGCGCCCCCGGCCGCCGAAACCGCCGACGGCGCCGAGGCCGCTGCGGCCGCCGACGAGGCGCCCCCAGCAGCCGAGGAGCCGGCGCAAGAAGCCTCCTAAGGCGCGGCACGCGCCGGCGATGCCCCCTTTCCCCCGACCTCCCGCGCTACCCAACTCGACTCGAGCGCCCCTCCTCCTGTTAACGGATTGCCCGGCAGAGCAACGCGGCCGCGAGGATGGTCAAGCGCGGCGGCGCGCGGGCGGAAGCGGCGTCGACGATCGCCGGGCACTCCGGCGCGGCCGAGCACACGGTCTGCTGCGAGTGCCAGGCGACGCGCGCGGACACGGCACCCAAGGCGATGCAGCTTTGACCGCACCCGTCGTTGCAGCCCGAAGTGGCGGACGCAGTCGACGCGCTGAGAAACGACGCGTCGTCGGTGACGGCGGCGAACGGATCGACGCCCGAAGCGAAGTGCGCGACGTTGAGTTCGCCGTCGATGCATCGCAAACAGATGTTCCCGCCATCGGGGCTCCCGCCGCAGTTCAGCGACTCGTAGTTCATCGAGGTTCCGGAGGAGTACACGTCGGTACACCCGCCGTCGTCGTAGACAGCAGAATAGACTGCCCCGGTGTTGAGTGTCAAGCCCGCTAGCTCGTCCGCGCGCCAGACCGCGTCGTCGCACGCGCCGTCGTATTCCGCGCCGACCGCGACGAGGAGGACGATGAAATGCCAGAGGCTGTGTGTATTTCCTGCTCGGAAGCTACCCATGCTGCGCTCCTGGCTGCCCGCTCCGTTCAACCGCTGCACGTTTGGCCTCGGCAATTATTGTTGACCCTCGCGATCAATTTTGGGGCAGCCTTATTGACGATCTGAGCGGTCCACGGGTGCCAACTCCGCCGTCATATCGAGTGCGAACAAAGGACTGCTCTATCGACGATCGTAGCGGCGGTCGCGGGTGCCAAATCACGCGCGAAAGGGGAACGATGCAGCTCGCCCCGCTGATCAACGACGACGACTTCGACCTGCTCGTCGCGCCGGAGGCGGAGGAGAACACGCTCGACATCGAGTCGGCGCAGCACCACTTCTCCTTCGAGGAGGAGGAGGCGCGGCGCACGACGCGGAAGCGCATCATGGGCATCTACGCCAAGCACGCGCCCGACAAGGTCGCGAACGTGGACCGGCTGATGACCAAGTACGCGAACGCGCTGCCGCAGCTCGTCGAGAAGCTCGAGGCCAAGTACGCGTCGCCCGCGCGCGCGGCGCCGGATCCCGCCGAGGCCCGGGCGCCGGCGAAGCCCGAGCCCGCGGGCGAGGGCTTCCGGCCGCCGAGCCGGGACCCGCTGTCCGAGTCGGTGCTGCGGACGGCGGGGAACCGCGTGACCGTGCTCCTCCTCGCGCGGGGCCACACCTACGGCCTCCCCGGCACCGACGGCACCATGGCGTCGAACTACGCGGCCGTCGTCGCGAACACGCACCCGCTGCTCGCGGGCGTCCTCGCGCACGCGCTCCACCCGTACTCGCGCGCGGACCGGCGCGCCGTCTTCGCGTGCCGCGCGGCGGCGAACGTCGCCGCGGCGGCGGGCTTCCTGCGCTACCGCACGCTCGGCGGTTTTTGTTGTTTGGCGCCGCCGTGCCTCGGGGCCTACCACGCGGCCAAGTACGTCGTCCTGGCGCTCTACGGCGAGGCGCTGCGCCTCGTCGCGGGCTGCCCGTGCCTCTTCGCGCCGTTCCTGGAGCCCCGGGGCATCGACGTCGTCGCGGGGCGGTCCGCGCGCCTCGCGCGCTACCGCGGCCGGAGCCGCGCGGCCGCGCGCCTCGCGGTCGCCGCGCACGCGCTCGGCGCCGCCGCCGCGGTCTACTACGCGCCCTGGGTCCTCGCCGCGAAGCCGCGCTTCGGCCTCACGACGCGCCAGTTCGTCTCGCTCGTCGCCGGCGACGCCGCCGCGGCCGAGGTCGTCTTCTCCGTCGCCTGGTTCCTGCCCGCGACGGTCCGGTTCCTCTCGCTCTACCCGGGCGACCGCGCCAAGTGGCACCGCATGTACGCGCCGCGCGCCGTCAAGGCCGAGTACGAGGACGCCAACGACGGCGACATCGCGGCCCTCGCGGCCGCGGGCGCCGCGGCCGTCGTCGTCGCCGCGCTCGCGCTCTACGGCGCCGCGAACGCGCCCGCGGCCGCGCTCCGGCGGTCCTGCGGCACTTAGACCGTGATGTTCGGCGGCGGGGCGGCGCCGTTCTCCTCGGAGTAGCGCCGGAGGTGCTGCGTCACGTCGCTGCGCATGTCGTCGGGGATCGCGGCGACCGCGGAGTTCAGCGCGACGCGCGCCTTCGCGAGGCGCGCGGCCGCGGACGCGATGCGCGCCGACTCCGCCTCGACGAGGCGCTGTGACTCCCGCTTCCGCGCCGCGTGGCGGTCGCGGTCGCGCCGCGGCGTGTCCGGCCCGAAGAGCGCGTCCTCGAGGGGCGCGCGGCCGACGCGGCGGCGCTCGACGTCGCGCGACGCGGCGGCGAGCGCGTGGCTCGCGGCGTGGAGCCGCTCGACGAGGCGCCGCTGGCGCTCCGTCGCCGCGCGCATGGCGCGCTCCGCGTCCTGGAACGCCTTCTTCGCGAGCACGGCGCCGGCGATGACCTCGACGGCCATTCCCGCGGGCGACCCGGCCCCGCGCGCGGACCCGCTGTCGACGAGGAGGCAGTCCGCGCGCAGGTCGGCGCTCGAGAGCACGAGGCGCCGCTCCTCCTCGCCGAGGTCGTCGTCGTCGTCCGGGGCCATCGCGCGGAGCCGCGAGTCGGCGCGGAAGAAGCGGCGCTCGCGGAGCGCGGCGGCCGCCGCGTCGCCGCTGCCGAAGCCCTCGTCGGTCCCGTCGTCGTCGTCGGACGACGACGACGCGTCCGCGCCGCCGCCGCCGCGCCGCCGCCGCTTCGACGACCGCCGCCGCCGCGCGTCCCCGCGCCGCGGGGGCGCGCGCTCCCCGCCCGCCGCGCGCTCCGACGGCGCCGTCGCGCCGACGACGCCGCTCGACGCCGTCGCCGACCGCCGCCGCGTGTCGTCGGGCGGCTCGGCCTCGTCGTCGATGGCGTCGATGTCGACGCTCGACGCGTCGCTGTCGCGCGAGCGCGAAGGCATCCGCGGAGACGGGGCCGGAGCGTCTCCCGCGCCCGGCGACGACTCCGCCGGGGTCCTCTCGCGCATGGCGCTCTTGAGCTTCGCGAGCGGCGAGTCGCGCTTCGCCGGCGGCGGCGGCGCGCGCGCGTCCTGCAGCGGCGCCTCCTCGACGAGATCCGCCGTCGCCGCGCGCGCGCGCGCGCCGACGGGCGGCGGCGGCCCCGGCGGCGCCTTGCCCTTGGCCGGCGACGGGGGAGCGCCCGTCTCGCCCGCCGACGGCGAGGAAGCGCCCGGCGCCGCCTCCGACGGCGCGGCGGCGCGGGACGCTCCCGGACGTTCCGGCGCCGCGGGCGCGCGTTCCGTCGGCGCGTCCGTCGCGTCGTCGCCGCGCGCGGCGCCGGACGCCGCCGCCGCGCGCCGCCGCGCGGGACGCGGCGCGCCGCGGTCGTCGCCCGCGGCGGCCCAGGAGAGGATCGCGTCCTCGAGGAGCGCCGCGTCCCGCGCCTCGCCGCGGGACGCGTCGACGAGGTCGGCGGGCGGCGCCGCGGCGCCGTCGTCGAGGGGCGCGTCGAGCGAGACCTTGAAGACGGGCACGTCCGGGGCGTCGTCGTCGTCCGGCGGCGACGGGGCCGCGAAGGGCTCCGGCGCGGCGCGGCCGCCGTCGGGCGACACCGCGGGGACGCGCGGCGGCTCGTCGTCGAAGACGTCCTCCGGGAAGCGCGCGAGGAGCCGCGCCCGGACGTCGCCGGCCGCGCGGTCGCCGACGGCCACGAAGGGCCGCTCCGCGGGCGACGCGGACGGCGGCTTGTCGAACCACTCGTCGAGCGTCCGCGGCGGCGACGGCGTCTGGCTCGGCGTCCGGCCCGGCGTCCGCGGCGCCGCGGCGAAGGGGTCCTCGGGGAAGCGCGCGTCGCGCGGCGGCGCGGCGGCCCCGGCGCCGTCGTCGCCGCTGCTGTCGTCGTAGGCGTCGTAGAGCTCGTCGACGCGCGCGCGCCGCGCGGCCCGCAATATGAGCACGTCGTCGCGGCTCGGCGACGGCGCCTTGGCGCAGTGGGACGCGTGGGCCTCGAACGCGGCCGCGGAGAAGGACATGCCGCAGGCCTCGCAGCGCCGCGGCGCCGAGCCCGGCGACGGCGGCGCCGCGCGGAAGGGCCGCGCGAGCGCCGCGTGGGCGTCCGCGACGTCGCCGTCGTTGTCGGCGCACTCGAAGAGCGCGTAGCTGAGCTCCTCCTCCGACTCCTCGCCGAACTCCGTCGGCCGCCGGTTGCGGATGGAGCCCGTGTCGCAGCCCGCGGAGCAGTCCGTCCCGCAGAACGCGCCCAGGGCGTCGAACATGCTGCCCGCAGTCTGGGCTCAAAACGCCTTCTCCATTGGCAACAGATGATACGACGAGGCAAACTTGACGGAAACATTGGCCAAAGCGGCGGGCATGGGCTTGACCTAGCAGCGGCCCGCGCGAGCTAGCGTTGACATAGCAGCAGTTCTCGCTCGCAGCCTGCGCGCCGCGCCACCGGCAAAAACGGCGGACGCGCCGCCGGCCATGCCGGCCGTCGCGGCCCCGAGCTTCCTGAGCCGGAACAGCGTCATGCTCTTCGCCTGCGCCTTCTTGCTGCAGAGCGACCAGAACCTGCTGGCGCCGCACCTCAGCGCCGTGGCCGACGAGTTCGGCATGAGCGACGTCGAGCGCGACGAGAAGCTCGGCGGCGAGCTGGCCATGGGCCTCTTCCTGCTCGGCGCGCCCGCGGCGCTCGCGCTCGGCGCCGCGGCGGACGCGTGCGACCGCGTGCGGCTCTTCGCGGCGATTCTAGTCGTCGGCGGCGCGGCGTCGGCGGGCACGGCCTTCGCCACGACGTATAGGGCCCTGTTCTGGTGGCGCGCGCTCACGGGCGTGTCGCTCGGCGCGTCGCTGCCCGTGACCTTTAGCCTCCTCGCGGACCTGTTCCCGCCGTCGATGCGGACGGCGGCGTCGGGCCGCGTGGGCGTGGCCATGTCCGCGGGCGCGGGCTTCGGCCAGTTCGTGTCCGGCTTCCTCGGCGCGGCCCTGGGCTGGCGCGCGCCGTTCCTGTTCGTCGGCGCGCTCTTCCTCGCGCTCGCGGTCGCGGTGGTCGCGGGCATGCGCGAGCCGCGGCGCGGCGCCTTCGACGGCCTCGACGAGGGGCCCAAGGGCAGCGACGACGACGAGTTCCCGCCGGCGACGACGTCGACGCGCCAGGACCTCGCGGGCCTCGCGCGGACGCCGACGGTCTGGCTCGTCTTCCTCCAGGGCGTGC